CGCCGGGCCAGCCTCTGCTTGTGGGGGTGCGCGCCCGGCAGCCGGGGGGGTCCCCCAGCGATCCTCCCCCCTCCCTTCCTACATCCAGCGACAGCCTGAAGTCAGCCAGCCAGCCGCTCGCAGAGCAGGGCAGAGGCGAGCCGCTCGGAGCCCGATTTACCCCACCCACTCTGCTCCCAGCAGGGAGAGTCAAGGGGGCGGCCACCCCTCCACCCCCGCCTCCGTGGTTTTCCCTGCTAGTCCAGTGGGATCTGGCAGGAAGCCCGGGAACGCTTCACTGTCCAATTTCTTCCCCCCTGGAATCCGGGGACAGGACTAGAGGGGGCGGAACGTCTCGGCTACATTTCTCCACACACTCCCTGGGGAGCTGAGCTGGGAGAGTCCAGTTTCCACCCCAATGGCTCTGTCGGCTTGCAGCGCCTAAGCCAGCCTTGTTAGCTCCCCGAAAGACCCCTCTCTGGCTCTCCTGCACACACGTCTTGCGCATGCTGCAAAGCACCATGTGGCTCTGAAACGTGCAGGAATATCACTGTTTACCCAAACGCTTCTGGCTCCGAGGGTGGGGGGAGACAGGGAAGGCGTGGCATTTGGCAAGCCACTTGATACATTTTGTTGCTTCCTATGCTGTACTGGCTGGAATGTCTCTCTTTTTTAAGGGAAAGTGTCCAGAATGTGCTTAACCAAGGGGGACAGGTTGGCATCCTGCCAGATGCTGAAGACAGCACCTAATTAACATAAACTGAGAGTACTTGCTGCAATAACTCTTGTCTTTAATACTTGGGCAGCTCACCAACAAATATCACAGTTCCGAGCTTGCCATGCTCTGCCTTGGACCAAGATAGAACACAAACATTATATTGCAGGACTCAGACTTTCTACTGGCTCCACACCACTTGGATCCAGATGGGGTCTGGAATGCTGAAACCCACATCCACTTGGCCCTGTGCTACTCCAAATCAATATACAGGGCAAGCCTGGGATTGTTGTCTGCCACAGGTTGCCCAGCTGCGTTAATGAGAAAGAAGACATAGGAAACATTTAAGATCTCTGTGGCCACTCTGTAATTTAACTTCCTTCTGTTATAGGATTTTTTCATAGAATCATAGAACTGGAAGAGACCTCAAAAGGTCATCAAGTCCAGCCCCCTGCTCTAGGCAGGACCAATTCCAACTAAATCAACCCGGCCAGGGCTTTGTCCCCCCCCATTTTGTGTCGTCCCCCCCCATTTCTGTCCCTTCTTAAATCAATTGAGGAGAGTTTCAATTTGTAATTTAGATCTTTTCCTGTCCCATTATCTGGGACGCTAGATGCTGTTTTCTTACATCTTTAATGCAATTTGAATTTAACTGGACAAACTCATCCAATAAATAATTCCCTTCATATAAATCAGAGAGCAAAGATGGCTTTTTGGTGAAGGCACTGGACTGGGGCTCAGAAGAGATTGTTCAATTGTCAGAATTGCAATGTGACCTTTTGCAAATTGTACAGATCTTGCCTATATCAGAAAGTTGTATTAGTCTGATTAAATACATTTAGCTTGTTTTGGTAGAATTAAGCAAAGGTTAAACTTAGATGGTTTAGACATATGCTTAAACTTTGGTAATGCATTTGACTTAGTACTGTACAGCATTTGGATTAAAAAACTAAAACGACATAAAATTAAAATGGCGCACATTAAAAAGGGATTAAAATTCAGTTAACTGACCAGTCTCAAAATATAACTGAATCATCACTCAGCCAGAGTGTTTCCAGTGAGGTCAATTCTTGGCCTTACACTAGTTAACATTTTTATCAATGGAAAAAAACCAAAATCATCACTGATAAATTTTGCACAGGACACAAAAAATTGGCAAAGTAAATAGTGAGAGGACAAGTCACTGATACTGTGTGGTCTGGATTATTTGTGTAAACTGGGTGCAAACAACCAATATGTTTTAATATGGCTAAATGTAAATAAATACATCTAGGAACAAAGAATATAAGTCATACTTACACAATAGAGGACCCTATCTTGGGAAGCAGTAACTCTGAAAAAGATTTGTGGGTTGTGGTGGAAAATGAGCTGAACAAGGGCTCTCAGTGCAATGCTGTGGCCAAAAGGGCTAATTTGATCCTGAGATGCATAATCAAGGGATTCTTAGGTTGGAGTAGAGAGGTTATTTTACCTGTCTTTGGCCTGGTGCAACTCTTACTGGAATATTGTGTTCAGTTCTGATGTTCACAATTCAAGGATGTTGAAAAACTGGATAGGGTTCAGAGAAGAGCCATAAGAATAATTAAAGGATTTGAAAACACACCACTAACACCTCTGAGACTAAAGGGCTACGCCTATATTGGCAAGATTTTGCACAAATACTTTTAACGCAAGAGTTTTTGCGTTAAAATATTTGCGCAAGAGAGCGTCTACACTGGCATGTGCCTTTGCACAAGAGATGTGCTTTTGCGCAAAAGCATCCGTGCCAGTGCAGACGTTCTCTTGTGCAAGAAAGCTCCAATGGCCATTTTAGCCATCGGGCTTTGTTGCGCAAGAAATTAACGTTGTCTGTCTACACTGGTCTCTTGCGCAAGAACAGTTGCTCAAGAGGGCTTATCCCTGAGCGGGAGTGTCAGAGTTCTTGTGCAAGAAGCACTGATTTCTTACATTAGAATGTCAGTGTTCTTGCGCAAGAACTCGCAGCCAGTGTAGACAGGCCAATGTAGACGTAGCCAAGGAGTACAATCTATTTAGTTTAACAAAGAGAGGTTAAGGGCTGATTTAATCACAGTTTATAAGTACCTACACAAATATTTGATAAGCTCTTCAATCTCATAGAGAAAGGGGTAGGAAGCCGAAGTTAGATAAATTCAGAATGTAAAAAATACTGATTCAGGGGGTAGCCAAGTTAGTCTGTACAGGATAAACTTAAAAAACAAGTTTATGACTTTTAACAGTCAGGGTAATTAACAATTCAAACAACTTTACACCAAGGGTTGTGGCAGATTCTCCATCCTGGCAGTTTTTATATCAAGACTGATGCTTTTCTATGGTTCTTTAGCCTTGTTATGCAGATCAGACTTGATGACAGCAATACCTTCTTAGCCTTGGAATCAATGAAAAACCAGTTTAAGTGCTTCTGAGTTAGTGGTTTGTACCCGTTTAATTAGTTCAATTTATAATCAAGTTAGTCACACCAATACAAAGCCTTAATCTCTGCCTTAGTTTGCATTTGTCCAATGGGAAGAACACCTACTTTTTTTACCCTTTGTCTAGTCCTATGATGGGGAACCTATGGCCCATCGCAGTGCTGTGTGACCTGCAAGACATTTTGTTTACCATTACCCACACACCAGGTTGCCAGATTCCACTAGTTTCTTTCCTACCCATATTACTAAAGTGACACACATACAGCAAGGGCACATGAAGTGAGCTGTATGCTGATTGATTGCACACAACATTGATTGAGAGTCTCTGCATCCAATCAAAGCACTGCTGTGATTCAACTGGCACACCCTGTGCCAATTCTAGGTACCGAAATGCAGTTAGAAAGACAGTGGTCCCCGACGTGGTGCCCATGGGGCATTTATGTACGCCTGCTGAATGATCTGGGCTGGCCCTGCCCTGCCCCCGGCACGCAGCACATGCACCGTGCTGGCCCCGGTCACGTGGCGCATGGGCGGCCCCGCCCCCAGGCCCGTGGCACATGTACGGTGCCGGGCGCATGGCGCATGGGCAGCCCCTACCGCGGGCGCGCGGCACATGTGCGGTGCCGGCCCCGGATGCGCAGCACATGAGCAGCCTCGCCCCTGGACACCCGGCGCATGAGCAGTCCCGCCCACAGGCACCAGGCAGCCCCGAAAGGTTGGGGACCACTAGACTAACCTATTCTAGGAGACTGTCTGGCTATGTCTACACGGGTGCTATCCTGCACCAGAGCTATGCAAATGAGGCTAAGCGTTGAATATCGCTGAGCCTCATTTGCATATCTAATGAGCCACCATTTTTGCAGAAGAGGCTCTTGCACAAGAAGGAGCTGTCTACACTGCCCCTTCTTGCACAAGAGAAACCCTCTTGCGCAATGCCGTTACGCTGATTATTTTCAGGAATAGTGGCATTGCACAAGATGGTTTTTCTTGCGCCGAAAGGGGCAGTGTAGACAGCTCCTTCTTGCGCAAGAGCCTCTCCTGCAAAAATGGCGACTCATTAGATATGGAAATGAGGCTCAGCGATATTCCACGCTTAGCCTCATTTGCATAGCTCTGGCAGAAGATCGCGCCAGTGTAGACATAGTCTCTTAGTTGCAACAATCCTGTGGCCCACTCACTGGCCTACACAGTGAGGAGTCCTATGGAGCCTTAAAGACTAACACATATTTACGCTTTTCTCCAGCCCACAATAGCTTATGCCCAAATAAATGTGTGAGTCTGTTTCAGCAAAAATGAGTAGCCCTGGTCTAGACTCTTTATATTGTAAACTGTTCATGGCAGAGCGTGTTTTACTATGTTCAGCATCTAGCACCATGAAGTGCTAGTCTTAGTTGGAGCCCCAAGACACTACTGCAATACAGTAAATAATAAATACTCCTGGGATTAAATTGACCCAGTGTGTCCATGAGATTATTCAATACTA